TGATGATATTTGTTTGGCATCATGGCAACAAGATACAATACAATATTTGATTGTTCAATCATCTTATTCTAATCAGGCATATTGTATGGTAAGTACCAGATATGTTATAACTATTGTCGAATCATTGTTCACCATCGAATATCAAAAGAATGATGCTCTTTAGAACATCTCTCTGGTGTTCTAATCTTTTTATTTCAATACTGCAGTATTTCTTTTACATTCTAAACAAGTTTGTTGTCAGTCGTTCGGCATTTTAGTTTTTATTTATAAAAAAATATTTGACTATTTTATTTATTTAGAGTTATCAAATTGAAGAAAATATTATTGTACAAAATGATACTTCAAATTGTATGTTTGAAGAACATACGAACAGTAATATTATTTATACTGGAAAATATATCGGTACGTTGAGAGCATTATGTTTCCATTATAATTATATTCAAACTGTTTTATTGCTCTTCTTTTTTAGGGCCATGTTCTGCGAGTATTCGTCATCGATTTTGTTTGACACTTATACTATTCTTGTTACTGTTTTTTCATAGTAAACAAGATATTAGATAGCATTTAGAGAAAACTTTATTTTTATTTTTATACAATAACAGCTGATGAGTGAAACAACCAAAATAATATAAAAATCGATGATACACATTCCAAACAGTGAAAACTGTTCGTTCAAATTATGTTTCGAACAAAAATAGTCATATCTGTTTAAAACTGCAATATTTTTACAGTTGTATTTTACAGTCATCTTGTGGGTTTTTTATTTTATTCGTGTAATGCTTTTTTTTTATCAAGAAGAAAAAGCCACAATTAGTACTGGAAAAGTGTCGATGTGTAATGAATGCTATTTTCTCCTTGTTCACCTTCTATTGATCTATACTCGCCCTATCCCCTCGATACTGTACCATGTAGTTCTCCGTATCACACGTGTCTCTGCTCTATAACGTCTACTCTGTCTTCTGACTTCATCACAGAGCATATAGGCTTTGATTAGTATGGCGATGGGTGGTCGCATCTGAAGTCCAGGGTTATAAGCTGTACGAGTTGAGTAATAGGGATAGAACACGCTATGAAACCGAACAGATCAAGTTTACTTTTGGATAATTTAGTCCAAAAGTAAAATTGATGCTTTAGTGTTCGATTCCAACCACTGTGTACTGTTATTTTTTATTTTTATTTCCTTATATTCTATCCTAGTCTCTCTCTCTTTCTCTCATTGTTCTTTTTTTATTCATGTTTGTATATGAGATATTATGAACAATAAAAGATTTAAATTTTTTTATCATGAGCATAAATATCGTCTACGTGTGTAATAATGTTCTAAAGAGCATCATTCTTTTGATATTCGAAGGTAAGCAATGATTCGACAATAGTTATACAACATATCTAGTACTTACCATACAATATGCCTGATTAGAATAAGATGATTGAACAATCAAATATTGTATTGTATCTTGTTGCCATGATGCCAAACAAATATCATCATGTTTGAATGAGCGATGTTCTTCAACATCTAAATTAAATTTCAAACATTAGATAATTCATAATTGACATACGGATAATTTAATGTGTCTTACCAGTTCCAAATGGTTCAATGCAATGAAATGTTGTTGTTAATTTTTTATCATTATAACATCCCACAGATAACTGGACCGAACGAATTTTTTTACATAAATTATTTACATGATAAATACGTCTAGATGTTTTAGTATTATGAAGAATAGGTGATAATGAATAATGACCAAGATTCGTTGGACAAGGTTCAATTGAATCTAGTGATTTCGTAAATAATGTTAATTTCAAATCGAATAAATCTTCATTTGTACATTCATCCTTAGGCCCTTGAGAGCAAAAGAACAATAATGAACAAGATAAATTTTAGTCATGATACTCAAAAAACGTACCAGTTAATAATTCTATGACATTTGACGAACGCTGAATAATAGTAAGACATTTTTCAATTACGTGACTAAAAATGTATTGGTAAGATAGATATGTCAACGTTTGACTTATAGAACAAGCAAAAACTTACCAATTTACAAATGAACGGACTAGATATATTTGAGTATTTTTATTTGGTAATGCTTGTAGTAACGTGATGCAATGAAAACGTTTTGAATTATCATAATCACCGGTATTCAATTCAATTTCCCCATTATTAATTGTGACATGCAATGAATTATTTAATGAATTCCATTCACGATATAGCCATTCGGGATATGTACAAGGTAACTCCGTATGACGGGCTAAACAAATTGAAATAAAATGAGATTTTCAACTTCTCTGCAAATGTTACCTTGTAACATTTTTTTCTATGTTAATAATCTCTAAGAAATGGAAAGTAGATAAAGAACTAAACGATTTTATCCATCTCTACACATGACTATTGCTCAACTGTTCAATCGGTATATCAAAGTATGACTGAGTTTCATATGAAAACTAATGATTTTCTTTCCTTCGTACATTTTCATAATGAATTATGAAATGAATTATTTTGGAAAAGTAAATGATTAAGCTAGAAATCTACTCCAGTGGTTCTATTATAATTGATAAGATAAAGATAGGTTAATCAAATATACTACCGTAGTAAAAATCTTAGATACTTCTTAAAATTATCTTACTAAAATCGTATCCTTTAAAATTTTAATCTAAGATCTGATCGTTTAAGATCTTAATAAGATTCAATCACTCTACTTCCATTTCCCCCTTTGTTTTGTTCTCATTCATCTATAAATTTCGCTTACATTTATCTGAGATCTTGGAAAAATCTCATAAAATCTTAGAATTTTCGGATCTCACGATCTTAGTAAGGTTTGTTTAAGATCTTAGACAAATGTAAGAAAAATCTTACTAAGCTCTTAGTAAGATTGGACTAAGTTTCTTACTAGGGTAGGATCAAATCATCGCATATGTCTTCTGTGAATATTACACACTTCTTCTATTGAACAAAACAATTTGTTCAAAAAAAGATGAAAGAATGAATGATTATGAAAAATGTAACTTGAGCATTTATTATTTGAATAGAAACTTACTCGATGAAAGATTCATAACTGTAGCTGTGTGCTTGTTAGCCGCATCTGTACACGAACTAGCCATACTCATTTCAAATGAAGTGATTCGGCTATGTTTTGTTGAATAATGCTAAAATAAACGAGTTTCATTAGATATTTTTGATTTTTCATCAACAGAAAGTATTATATTTACGAAACAAATATAATGATCTTGATATGTTCGTGCAGCAAAATAACTGTGAAAACCTTCGGTCCATGTGGCAACACAAGTTAATTGAACTAAAAAATAGGTAAAATAAAATGTAAATCTATACAAGAACGAATATAAATATGGTACATACTAGTACTATTCAAACAGGCAAAATGTAAACGAAACTGATTTTCATTTGCGCATTCGGCCAAAATAGAACCGGATTTATTGCATGCATGTCCATGTTTTGTATATGTTAAAGAATAAGATGGTGAAATTGGACACGGTTCTGGCTTCGAATCATCTAAAAGTAAATCATTAAATATCATTTGATTATTACGAATCGATTAGTCTTTCTGCTTAATCTTATAATACTCGAGATATGTGAACAATAAAAATATTGTCATTCATTTTTCAAGTAATAATAATTATTCATGTACAAAATATCCTTTAAATTATTTTCAAACAAAAAGTTGATGAAAGGCGGTTTTGTTCAATGTAAAGAAAGAATATTTTTTCTCCTTTAATCATCAATATCATCATTATTAATGACTGTATGTTTGACTGTGTACAACACGTATTTTGTAAAATTACGATTTTTCTATGTCTGTCGTATGAAACTGTTCGTATTTTTTTTTTAATCATAAACATAACATTCCACCTTTAGACTCATCATCATTATCATTATCAAAATTTTTTTTTCGACTTTAAATACTTATGGTTTTATTTAAAAAGTTTTATTTTTACACTTGTATGCAAAAAAACAAAAACTTACTTCGATGAAGAGTGTAGAGATCAGCATCTGGAGTAAATGAACACGTAGAACTTGATGTGTCTTCGTTACATTCACCTAAAAGGAAATCAATACAATATCTACTATTGAAAAACAGTGACAGAATAAGTGTCATAATTTGTAGAACTTCAACATTATAATAGAGGCTTAAGCCAGTCGGCATCATTCTTCATATAAATGAGATGAACACTATTTATTTTATCTTACTTTCACGATATTGTAATAAATTTCTGTGCCGTTGAACGAATAGTATACATCGATTACATCGATTAACTCTAAAAACAAAAAAAAAGAATAGTATAGGTATGCCGCAATCTTATCTATTAAGAAGAGAAAATTTACTATTAAAGACATTTTCCTGAAATTTATAGACGACTCAATTATTCTTCGTTTTTTCATGATTTTAAATCGATGAAAATATTTTTTGTATTACATATTTTCTTAAATCTTTAATTCATCCGTAGTAATAATCCTTTTTTCTAGTTCATTGAATCATGTTGTATCCGAGACATGAATTTTATGCTACGTTAAACACATGTCTGATCTAATTTTATATTTCTAATAACTATCAAATTGCGTAATCATCATTTTCTCACTCTTATCTATTTCTATCTCTATCTTTATGGGCTATTATTATTATTACTGTTTAGAAAAGAAATATTTGCACAAGTGTGTCAATTTATTCAAAAAAATTTAACTCTTTTTTTGGCTCAGTCCTTTTTTTTTATGACAAAAAAAAAGAAAAAAGGTGAATAGTTAGATGTTTACTTTAAATCGAGACTTTATTTATCTTTCCAAAAGACAACAGTGTATATAATCAGACATCATCGTGTGAGAGATGAGATGAACTCTATTTTAACATTTACATAAGTTTTACTATTCCACTACCATGTGAAAGAGATAGAGAGAGAGAGATCTTAATCCAAAATAAATTAATTTATTAATCCTTTTATGAACATGTGTTATCTTTAAAGTGTATATGAGACATGCATGCTCTGTATATTTACCAATATAAATAACTTACTGATCACTAAATACATATTGATCGGAATGATATTTTTCAATACAACGTCCTTTTGTTTGAAAATGTGTTTGATTAATTTCTAATAATGATGTCATACCACGTTGATACCAATAAGCATAATATGTTGAGGATATATTGCACAAAAGTGAAACTAAAAATAAAAAATTAACTATAGATAAAATAATATAACTATCGATCATTATTTTCCAAACAAACATTTCAAGTATTTTATTTAAGTTTAATACTTTATGAGCAATTATTATGTTCAATTTTCTATTGATTCTAGATAACTATAAAAAATATTTTACTTTGAACCAATTTTAATTGATGTATAAGCTTCTTACTGTTATTCTATATCTAAAATCACTTTTATATATAAATTCTAACGACTATTTGACTTTTAATTCTATTATTTTTAATGGAATTGTCAAAGATAGATATGTCTTTTCTATTCTAGACACACCCGCCCTTTTAATGGATCACTATCATTATCCAATATTAACAATAGGAAGAAATGAACGAACGACTTTTCTTAAAATATTTATACATAGTTAGTTCATGTCAAGATGATTGAAAGTACTCCTTCTAGATATAAATGTTCAAGAAATTCTAATTAATAGAGTAAAATAAAAAAAGAAAGTAAAAGAGACCCATTCATAGTTTGAAGCCAGGTGAAAAGACATATTCTCATGTGAATAACAAAAGATTGAACAAATTAACAATGAGTAATGTCAAACAATAATAGTATAGTCATTTTTACATTTACACTAACAACATCTTCAAAACTCTTTCTATTTTTAGAAAATTAAATTTTTAAGTTTATTTCAATCATGAAAATTATATATTCCCGAAATCTATTATTATTTATTTGATTCGGTCATCACTATGTCCTAATAACCTTGAATTCCTAATATGTAGATGCGGGAAAAAAGAAAGGAAAAAAGGAAGTGGAAATTATGTCACCAATTATGTCGTCAACAAAACCCATTTATAAAATATTTTTAACGCCCTCATTCTCCATTTTATTTCTTCTTCTTATCTAGCTATTGCATCATGAATTCAATTCAATTTTTTATCCTCATTACAATGATTACTATGATTATTACATCAACTCGATCATATGTATAAAATGAAGAACTCACACTCAGTGTGGTATTAAATATTTTTTTCCGATCTTGCATTTCATTTTTTGTCTCAATATATTAGTACAAAAAAAAGAGTTATATTTAAATATTTTCAATCATTAAATCAATTTGTTATTATGAACAAATACAAAAATCAATTATTTTCGGACTGTTTTCAGTGAGATTTTAAAACTTTTAAATCCTAATATTAATGTAAAAATTTTGCATGAAAAATAAATTCATTTTAGTCATTAAAATAATCTTAAAACAGTTTTACTTAAATTTATTTTTGTTTTCTTAAAAATAATTTTCATCCTTCACTTTTATTTCAATGTAAAGAAACCCTCTAAACTTTAACTAATGAATAATCCCCTCTCATCTATTACTGAAAAAAGCATTGTCCTTCAAAATATATTTCTAATGTCAATGATTTTCTCATTGTTTACTAACATGATGGTAATGATGATGATGATGATGATGATGATGATGATGATGATGATATTGTTGTTGTGAAACAATCTTTATCATTTTTTACAATTCCTCTGTTTTTCCTCTTATGTTTTGTTCAAAATACTCTTCATAACATCTGTCCACTTCGATCATATCTTTTGGCTTTTATTATTGAACGCAAACAGAAAAAGAGGAAATCGATTGTTTGTAGTGTGTCAGAAAGCTCAAGGCCAACGTCTAGAAGTATCCATAACGACACAATTTCTACATTATTGCAAGAAAAAAAGAAGAAAAAGAACAATAAAAATAATCAAATAAAACAAATACTGTCAAGACTCTAGAACAGACATGCAAATTCGTTCAAATGAAGTATATATATATCCCATTTATGTTGTAATACTTTTCCTCTAAACAGAGATGTTACTATGTTAAGTCACAATTCTATTGAGAACTAAAAAAGAAATATTAATAGGATTCTAAATTATTTACACAAGGATGCTGTCGGCTATATATGTCCAAAAAAAAAGAAAAGGCTTTTATTAAATAACCTTCGAATCGCCTCAGTTTAAGTACAATAATATTACTATCTACACGATAATTGTGTGAAATAAATAAGAAAAACAAAAAAAGATTATTAAATGACATATAAAACGTGTTTCATCATTTATAATATAAATTTTTTTATTATATACTGTGTACTGACATATATATTTTAACAGACGTATTTATATGATCCACTATTTCAACGGTTCATTAATGATGATAAATAGTGAAGATTGATCTAAGAGTAATATTTCTCTCAACTTCTACTGAGAAAATGATTCCAATTTAATGTGCCGTATTATTTTTCATGGAAAAAAGACACACTGTTCAATGTCATTGTATGGTTTTCATTTTATATTCCTAGTACTTCTTCTAAGTGAAAAACAAACAAGGAGGAGTTTATTAAAACAACTTCACTAGGTTTTGTCTTATTTTAGTTAAAAAGAAAAATAAGTATGTATGTGTAGAGTAAAATGTACTCCTGTTTTCAATAAACAGATGGTCTACTACTATAACGGTCAAAATGTCCTTGTGCTCTTTTTTTTTTATTTTTTGTTATTGCCCTTTGGAAGATGCACGCACGCCTACATACACACACACATATAAAAAGATAAATCTACAACTTTTTCTTCTCGTTTATTTTATTTTCTTATATTGAGAGAAAATATTATTTGTGTTCTTGACAAGTCACGTACGTGTACACAAACTAAAATAATATAAGATATTCAATGTTCAAATATACACTATAATAATAAATGGTTATATTAAGATTTTATTATTTATAAATAAATATTTTCCCTAATGTTTTATTATTACTGTTCAAAACATTCTGTTCAAAGCTAAATGAATGTGTCAATTTCATGAAAGATATCTTTATTCCTGAAAATTTTGAAATTATGCCACTGATCTCTTGATTTATCAAGATACAATTCTCAATAGTATAAAGTTGATGATATCATCGCTCAATTACTGTTGTAGTGTAAATATTTTTCTCAAAATACTCGCAATATATAGTCTAAACAATATGCGTAATGTTACACACACACACACAATAATATAGAAAGATGAAAAATGATGTTTGTCCATTCTTCTCTATATATACGTCAATAGTTTTCTTCTTTTTTTTTTTATTATTAACAAATCATCGTAAAAAAAGGACTTGAACACTTATATATCCTGTTTCTATTGTTGATGAGTATAGATAATTATCAATTTTTTTTTTGTCTATCATCAATATCTAATACACCAGTACAAATCATCATTATTTTCCAAACAATTTTTATGTGTACAAAATAAAATGATAAAATTCGTTTGATAACAAACAAGAGTTATGCAAAGTGATGATGATGAGAATGGTTCAATCAACACAAAGCACGATTATATGATTTGATAAATAACAGAGAAACAAACTCATTTCCGAATCAAATAACCATAAACAATACTATTTTCATCTGACTCTTACGTATTCATCAAAAACAAAAAAACTTAAAACAAAAATATTTTAAAAATTACTCTCATAAAATATTTCTATTCACTTATGAACGATAATTTTAGACATTAATCTAACTATAGTACTATGGACAGTAGAAATATTTCATTTTAATAATTATAATAGAATGAGACATCTCAACGTAGACTGTTACTCAAGTATTATTAATTAAAACTAGATACACCATCTATTACTCACGCATTCACCAATCATTTACCTTCATTAAAACGGCCATAAATAATAAGAAGATTAAAAACAATAACAATCAAATTATTTCTATAAACATAAACATGGTTTTTATTCATCGTTCAATAGCCATCGATTTTTGTATGTAAATAATAAATCATTGTCGGATGCATTGATACAAGTGTATAGTAACAATTAGCCAAGATTCTATTTGAGATTATAATATGATATATAGAGATAGAGATAGAGATATCATATAAAATATGGACATTTGAAAATAGTTTATCATAAAATGTCAAATGACAAAATTTGTATAAAATAATAAACAAACTTTTCAATCAATTCGACGATATTTTTGAAAATTAATTTGAAGAAGATACTAGTCAAAATAATGTTTTTCACATTATTTCTTTCAAAAAATAAAAAATGAGAAAAAAGAAATAGATTTCAATAATTTTTTCCGTTACAAACACATATTATACTTTCTTAAATGAGCTCATGTTTTCTAGTTGTACACACATACACACGTTATATAGAAGATATGTTACGTCCATACATATGATAAGAGAGAAAAAAAAACCAAAAACGTCATGTTTTTTTTTTTTCTTTTTTTTAATTCTCTTATTTGCTCAAAATGAAAGGAAAAAGAGAAGAAGAAAAAAAAAAACAGAAGAAAACATTCTTTTTTTTCATGAGGAAGCAAAACCACAACAGTAAGTAGTTCCAAGAATTGTAAAATCTAAGACGTGTGAATAACCACTAAATGAAGAACAAAGTAACATGCAAATGAGAGAAAAAAAAAATAAGATAGAGAATGCCAACTATTGAAGGTGGAAAACTCATTTTCTAGTTCAGAAAAGAAAAAATAATTAGACTATAGCTTTAACAGTCTATTAAATGTTGAGTTTTTTTTTTCTTCTCTATTCAGTTGAAGTTTTAAAACGGTGTTTAACTCTTGAAAATAGAATAGTCGATAATGACTGATTTCTAACAGTAAAACTATAAAAAAATTGAATTCATATTTGAGATATTGTACATCATCTCTCTTGAATTTATTGAAAAACTTTTTTCTTACATTATGCATATACACATTTTCACCTATTAACATTATATTAGAAATGATAGACTGATTCAATTTTTACGACATTTCTAGAGATTTGTAAATTCTACAATAAGGTCTATGTGCACATTGTGATCATACTACTGTATTAAAACGTTTTTATATCGTAACCTTTCGAGTGATTATGTTTTAAAAAGCAATAATAGTTCACAGAATAAAAAAAGAAAAAAGCAGAAGAGAACATGTATTACATGAATTTAGAGAACATCAGTTCGTTTTTTTGTTTTTTTTCTTTTCATACCGAGTATCTTTGAACATTATTCTAGTGACATCAAACTTATTTATTGAATGTTCATTCACTATTAGACAATGATATATAAGAATGGTAATTTGACTAACTATCGTTCAATTCATACATAGAATACTTGTTCATCTACTGGTTTTTTAAATCGATTCTTTTTTTTCTTTTTTTTTCTAATATTAAAACATTGTCTCTTACGATTATAGCACAGTTTCACATTAAAAGAACAAAATAAAAGAGAAATTATTCCTATATACATACAAATCTATTCGATTGAAAAGTGTTTTAACACCTGTACTAAATGAAATGAAATGAAATTGTGCTACCTGACTATTTATTAGAAAAAAATGAAAGTCATTGATTCAAAGGATATTGTCTTATTTTTTATAAGCTTTCAATTGGACAATGAGAGTTAGTCGAGTGAAAAGATACTTAATGGACAAATTAATAGCAATGTTAAAATAGAAGTTAAACGTCTACCAGATGCTTTCAACTAGCTAAGAGTAAAAAAAATAGATTAATAATTTTTTATTGATAACGTATGAGTAATATGTACATTATTGATTTTAAAGTAAAATTAATAATCAAGGTTAAATAGTATTCACCATTTACCAACACTTTTTAAACACTCAAAGCAATACTACTATTCATCTCTTATTTATTTTCAGTTTAGATTTAAACATAGCCACAAGTGATTAGTAACATATTAAGTCATACGAGATGGATGTTTCATTTAGATTTGTCTTCTTAGTATTCTTATTAGTGTAACTAAAGTTGCGAACAAAGTTAACGTGTTCTCTCATATATGTTATATTCATTAAACCATCAGTATGCAAAACATTCATTCGAAGAGTAAATTCAACGACTCATACAACTCAAAAAAATATATGAACGAACAAATCATGTATTTTATTTTGACATCATCATATTATTACCAAACCTTGTATATCTACTATAATCCCATTAACCATTTTTTCACTTCATATTACTCAATCATGATGAAGTCAAATATGAAATATCTCACGAATGATCATACTGGAATAAAACCTACACAGTCGATTGTCTTACCAACGTTTTCTAACGATTGTGTTGCACGCTCACACATCAGTACAGCCATATACCGTATAATAATAAAATTGTTCATAGTTTCAACGGTCAGTCATACATCTTCTATGCTCAAGAATAGGACTAACACAAGAAACAAGACCGTTGAAAAATTCAGAACAGCAAGCTCAAAAGAATCTGAATACAATGACTACCGTCATAGCAGTATTGAACGATGGTTCCATAAGTACATTATAATTGTTACGTAACAAGATTCTGAAAAAGTTATTATCACTGAATATAATTTCAACTACTGTAACTTTTATTTAGAACAGTTATATAAAGCAAATAGGGTAGAAAACGATTAACAACAATTGTCTAAAGAACGTTAATGAGAAATGTTTACAAAGTTGGTATCTCAGAGTTACCAAATGCTAGTCAAAATGTATTGTTGAAATCATGAGAGAAACATAAAAATTGTGGACAACACTTATCATCTACCAGTTAACAAAGGGGGGGATCCCTCTATTTTGACATAGTGTGGACTATGACCGTAAGTGTTTGATTGATTCTCCTTATTATGTCTGAAATGCACAATTTAGGAGTAATTAGATAATTAATAATTAAAGTTAATTAAAGTTTCGATTTCGTTGGTATTATAAAATAATTCATTATATTTTATTGGAATGTCTAATCAACGTCGTTGTAGAGTTATTTTGTAGTCAATCTTTAGTTGCATATAATAAGCTTTGAAAATAGAGATAATCAGTTTTACAGCAACAAAAAGTTTCATTTTTTCAATTTTATTTCTTACGTTTCGACAGTTTAACTGTCATCTTCAGAGATATAGAAAATTACAACTAACCGAGAAAACCAGAATTC